GCATCATGGAATAGCTTAAATTTGATGGTATAAACATTGCACAGTTACTGGTGACTTTGGCAAGTTCATTCAGATATGACAAAGAGAAAGTCGATGCAGAAGTAGCTTCTATCGAGGCGGATATGTTACGCGAAGCGATAACAAAGAAGCAATTAGATCATGATCATGTCTTGTACATATTAGGAACTCGTAGTATCTACCAGCTCAGAGCAACTTTTGCTGCTTACAAGCAGAGTTATGGGAACACAATAGATAAGGTAAAACAAGATCATAGTTTGGTCTTTCATGGGTCACTTGCTTCATGTTGTGTTGTTTTGACAGGATGTTGATGAATGTCCGGGAGACGGTGATCTGAGAAGTCTATTACAGATGGTAATCTTGTGCATTGATTTCCCTGAGAAACACTTTGCAAAGGTAGTATAAAGAACATTAAGCAAGGACTAGACTAGAGTCAAATGGATTTTAAGTAGAGATCAAGAACTTTGTGTTATTGTTGTTTTTAACAGGTCGTAAGAGATTCGATTGAAGGGTTTGGAACAGATGAGGATTCGTTGACGAGAGCGATTGTGACTCGCGCAGAGATCGATTTGATGAAAGTAAGAGGAGAGTTTTACAATATGTACAATTCAAGCATGGATAATGCTATTATTGGTGATGTTTCCGGAGACTACAAGGACTTCCTCATTACCTTACTTGGTTCCAAAATCTGATCTTTTGTTGTAATTTCATTATTATTTGCTTGGTTTGTTATTTGTATCAAACAAAAACCTTCATTTTCCAACTCCCATTTCAAAAATGTGAAAACAATAATAATCAATTATCTTGTTAAGACTCAAATTTTCCCTAAGGTTCAAAAACTAACAAAAACAGAGCAAGTGTTTGTTTAAAACCGGACTTAACCGGAATGTGAAGTCCGTTATTATAAAGATTTTTTGTTTTTTTTTTAATGATTTTAATTTGAGATTTAAAAACCATACAAGGACTAAAAATATGATCCGTTTTGATATTTTTGTTCAGATAGGATTGTTGAAAAAAAATCAAAAAATGTGTGGCTCTCATCTCGCAACACGATTCACAAAACCCTTTCCTTTTCCTGCTTCTTTGGATTCATCTTCACAAGTTTTACTGAAAGATTCTTTGTGTTACTAAAAACCCTTTTTTCCATGGCGGCTTCAATCTCAAGAATTTTGCCAACAGATGGCAGATTAAGTCAATGCACTTCATGGGTTCCGATTACGAAAAGAGCTCAAACTCAATTTGGTATGTATCATTAAGAGATCCTTTTTAAAGTCTCTAAATTTCAAGTTTTTTTGCTTAATCATTTGGTGTGTTTTTTTCCTTCTTTCAGTTTCAGATTCTTCCAAGTTGTTTTCGGTTAGTAAAAGTGGAATAAGTCTGAGGATTCAGAACGTTAAACCCTTACGATCCTCTGTTTTTGCTCTTGAACATTCCTCCAGGTTGATCAATTTAGCTCTGATTAGATGTTTGATTATTAAAGTTTCGATTTTTCTCATTTTTTTAAAGATGGGTCATTGTTTAATTTACAGGAGTAGTCGAGTTGTTTGCAAGGCTGCTACAGATGTTTCAGGTGATGTACCTGAAAGCAACCCTAAGGAACTTAGCCAATATGAGAAGATTATTGAGCTTTTAACGACCCTTTTTCCACTTTGGGTACTTGTTTTTTTTTTTTTATTATATAATACCTCTTCTTTGATGAACTCTATATGCATTTTGATATCTCAAATGGTGAATGTGTGTGATGATTTCTTTTTGTGCAGGTTATTTTGGGAACACTTGTTGGCATCTTCAAGCCATCTTTAGTATGCTTTTCATGCTTCTTTTGATTGTAGTATTTTATCTATAGCAATCTGTGTTTCTCGCGCTAATAGATTAAGTCTTTGAAGGTTACATGGTTGGAAACAGACCTCTTTACTCTAGGTCTAGGATTTCTCATGCTTTCCATGGGATTAACTCTTACATTTGAAGATTTCAGAAGATGTTTACGTAATCCATGGACGGTGAGAGCTAACTTGTACTTGTTGTATTTGTTTTTCTCTGTTAGATTTGTTTACCTTCCTAACATTTAGAGTCCTCCTGCAGGTGGGTGTTGGTTTTCTTGCACAATATATGATCAAGCCAATGCTAGGTTTTCTCATTGCAATGGTATGTTTTCATTGATGTCTATCACATCAACTTGTATTTTCTTTTCTGAAATGGATGATACTTTTGCAATTTTATTGATGATTCCTATCTTTCTTTCTGTTTTCTTCAAGACCATTCGTACTCGATTAACTTAGATCTAAGTGTTGTTCCATGTCCAAACCTCACTTTTTCTTTTCTTAATAAGTTTGAATCAACATTTCCTCGGATACTCTCACTTACTCCTTGAGGGATTCCTCTCGTAGATAGAATTGCTATGGACCTGTGTGTGCATTTGCAGATACTACTATTTGGTTGTTGATGATTGTCGAGGAACCAACTAATACAAACCTTTTTTGTATTTTTATTTTAGACTCTTAAGCTTTCAGCACCTCTTGCAACTGGTCTTATCCTGGTCTCATGCTGCCCTGGGGGACAGGCATCGAACGTTGCAACCTACATTTCCAAGGGGAACGTAGCACTCTCTGTACTCATGACAACGTATACTTCTATTTTCACTTGTTTTTCTTTTTCGTTCTTGAATGTGATTGGAGGCCTCAATTTTTCTTTATACATTGTTCTCTAATTATTAGGTGTTCAACCATCGGGGCTATTATAATGACTCCTCTTCTCACTAAGCTTCTTGCTGGCCAGCTTGTTCCCGTTGATGCTGCTGTAAGTTTTCTTTGTAAATAATTTGAATCAATTCATGCACAATTGTAGCTTATAAGATACATTTCACTATGCCAAAATATGCAAAATAGAAGTCTATAACAAGATAGTTTCAGCCCGCCGAAACATAGCTTATGGATCCCTTTTTTTATATCAGGGACTTGCTATTAGCACTTTTCAAGTAGTGTTGGTGCCTACTATAATTGGAGGTAAGTACGGTGCTAAGTGAATTTGATTATGATTTTTTTGGGGACTAAAGTCGTTTTCTGCATTGTGTGACAGTTCTTGCCAATGAGTTCTTTCCTAAATTTACGTCGAAGATTATAACAGTGACACCTCTAATCGGAGTCATTCTGACCACTCTTCTCTGTGCCAGTCCTGTAAGTAGTTCATGTAACAAGAAATATTTCTTCATTGAAATTTTAGAGTGAAAGTAGTATTGATCATTAAATTTTCTTTTGTGACAAGATTGGACAAGTTTCTGCGGTTTTGAAAACACAAGGAGCTCAACTTATACTCCCGGTGGCACTCCTTCATGCTGCAGCCTTTGCTATTGGCTATTGGATTTCAAAGTTTTCTTTCGGCGAGTCCACTTCCCGCACCATTTCTATAGAATGTGGAATGCAAGTAAGTTCATTTATCTTACACCAATATTTTGCCGTTTGCTTGGTTATGACTTGATTTTCTAAACAAAACTTCATATCTTGCAAACTGCAGAGTTCAGCGCTCGGGTTCTTGCTTGCACAAAAGCATTTCACAAATCCTCTCGTAGCTGTTCCGTCTGCAGTCAGTGTTGTCTGTATGGCGGTAAGTTTTCATAGCCATTGTTTGAACCAAGGGTATAGAAATAGGTCACATGTAAATTTCCAAATGTAGTTATGTTCAATGTCATTGTTGTAATCATGTTTGATTGCATTCTGCAGCTCGGCGGGAGCGGCCTAGCCGTGTTCTGGAGAAACCAACCGATTCCGGCAGATGATAAGGATGACTTCAAAGAGTGAATGAAGTAGGAAAAGCAACATGTGTATCCTCCAAACGATGGGATTGTTGTAATGTTTGTAGACATGCTCCCATGTGTTGAATTGAAAAAGACATTTAAAAAACAAGATCTGTGTTAAAAGACAAGCAAGATGCATTTTGAATTTGTGGTCAACTTTTGTTTGTTTATCTCAACAACTAAACCCTACACAAATTCAACATAAATCTAGCACCGTATATGGAAAGAAAACAGGTGCTAACGGAAGAAAAGACACAGGATTATCACCCCTCCCAAAGATCACCGAAGGTCTCTGGATACAGATTTGATTCCAAGTGCGTGCATTGCAACGAGAAGTGCAGGAAATTTTCACGACCCGGAGTGAATGAATGACTCTTGACCTGAAGTGTAATATCAGGGAGCAGTTCCCGTTCAAACTGCTGAGACTACTAGTAATGGAAGAGCTACTGATCTTTGCCTTTGAAACTTTCCATCACGAGCCTATAGCATCGGAATATATCCGCAAATCCCGAGCATACCTTAAGCCCGTGATGTATACACAAGTCTTTCAAGAGGCATCCAGCAACAATCATATACCAGAATGAAGTGGTTTACTATTTAGTGATTTTAACAGTTACGTGAAATCATGCACTAAAGGAGAGAAAGAAATGAAAACTCAAATACAAAGTAACAAAAAAGTCGATGAAGGAAGCCATCCATTGTCAGACAATGTTTACTTTTCCCCAATTTGTCATTTACCACTTGAAACCAGAATTTTACTATATCTTACATTAGCAACAAAATCCCCCATCATTCTGTATCCATTCCAACATCAATGTAAATTCCAAGTTTGATCTGTTCTAATTCTCATTAGGCTTTCCATTCTCACTGCTAAATCCATTGTCTACCTCCATTCCAACCATCTCCTTTGATGTTTCGCCGTCTAAGTCTGCCTGCATCTTCTGAGATTCACCATCTGCACCTACAACTGAATCACTCTCCATCTCGTGATTCACGTCTTCAATTTGTGGCATGTAATTCTGGTATTGCTGCTCATACATGCCTTGTGCCTGTCCCCCAAAAGAAAACAACAACATTATTAGTACATAAAACAAACCAATTTCTAAACAAACAAAATTAGTAACCAAGCAAACGCAGATAAGGTCGTTTACCTTGTAGAACTCGTTCATCCTATCGTGAACTATGTGTGCCATCTCTTCAACATCATGAACAAGATAAGGATTTCCAACTTCCTCCACCGGACGATCTGTATACGCTGATGTGTTCTCGCTTAGGTTGAGGCCGAGCCGATCGGGTCTTTTCAGAAGAAGTTGAAACGTTGGTTGCAGCTCATAGCATTGTTCAAAGAGAGAGCGGCGGCAGAACACATACAAACCAAGCCGAGCACGTGACATTGCAACTACCAACCTTCTTACATCACGTAGATGTCCAACAAAGCGTGTCCGTACAAGAGACAGCAAAATAAAATCATTCTGTTGTCCTTGGAACTTGTCCACTGTAGTCACCTGAGGAAACAACAAAACCAGACAGTCAAAACACCACAATAAATATGGAAGTATATACACACAATGCATTATCAAACATTCAAACTTGCTCGTATTCCTATAAGTCATTACGCGACAACTATCATATTAGCATGTAATAAATACTAGAATGGATATTTTACCTTGCTAGGCGGGCCGATGAAAGCATAGGGAACACATCGACGGTTGATAACATCACGGATTAAGAGCTTCTGTCCGTTATATGTCGTCAATATTGATATCTTATTAGCAGGATATCCTAGCAATCTCATGTATATATAGACACTGACAATATATTCAGCTTCTCCCTGATTTTGATAAAACCATGGAGATGGTGTCGACTCCCCTCTCCCCTCGTAATCAGGCACATTTATCAACTGATATTCATATGAGAATCCAGCATTCGCTCTATGAAAGATAGGTGCTTCCTTAACAATGGAAAGGTCTCCCAAATCTCTGTATCTCCAGTTGTAGAGTTTGGCTAAGCTTGGCCTGGCTCTTCCTTGAGCATTGAGCTCAATATAAGGAATACCAAGACGAACAAACCTCGTAAACAAACTCTGATCCATGTGACTATATTTCTGGAAAGCCATATTCTTCACCACTGGAGGTAGCTGGTGGTGATCACCAATCAATATACAGCGCTTGAGTCGTGCATGACCATCTTCTTGTCTCTGAAGCAACATTGGAATGAAAGTCTCAATTTCCAAAATCTGAGCGCTTTCTTCCATGAGTAAGTTATCATACTTGAAACCCAACTGAAGAAAATCTCTCCTCTTTAATGCCGCATGAGTACACGTCATTGCTACAATCTTCGCTTGTTTGGTCATCAGGTAATTTGCTCTATCAGCAGTTGACTTGAGTAGTTCAAAGGCCCTACACTCTTCTAGCTCTTGGAAAACAGTCTTCAGATGAGAGAAACAACCTTTAGCAGCCCTCATGTCTTTCTCGAATGACTCCCCACTAAAAACAGGATTAGGGGTGTCTGAGAAGAAATCTTTGAACGGGAAGCGATCTCGAACAAAAGATGGATTGTCTTCATTTCCTGCACAAGCAGCAAGAAATAGCTCCCAACGCGAATATACATGAAGCAACCAAAAGTAACCCGCTGTTTCACAAGTATAACCCACATCCTCTGGAAGCTGAAGAGATCTTGCTAGTCTCTCAACCTCACTGAGCAGTTCCAGTCGTCGAACAAGCATGGCATTTACACGGCCTTGTCTGCTAAAGTCAAGATCAGTGGCAAGCTCTTGTTCACCTTGACCCAAACGAAGTAGATACCGTGCTGGGACATCCCTCTGAAAAACCAAATCCGCATAAAAGTTGTCTCTCAGAACCGGTTAAGACATTTAGACCATTCGATTTTAGTCCATTTAATAACAAAAGTAGGGAAGATGCCAAAAGTACCTCCATTATCTTCTCAAAAAGATCATTTAAAGCCTGGTTTGAATGAGTGATAATTAAGGTCCTCTGAGAAGGACAGTTGTGATATAGAACATTCAAGATTTGCACTGCTGTATCAGTCTTTCCGGTACCTGGTGGACCTACCACCATAGTTAGTCCAGGCTGAATACCAGAGATAATCGCTCCAACCTGCAGGAAAATAATAGGCATGGTTTGATTACAAGTTGCAAGTAAAGATCATCTATGTTTTGGTATATTTACTATTTCAGTAGAGAGAAACGTCCCATCGTGAGGGGAAAAATGCTTTTAAAGATCAAGTGAAACTTTCTCCAAATAAAGTATATCGCTCGGGAACAAGATTAAAGAGACAAGATTAAACCATATACTTTACTATTCAATGGAAGGAAAATGCGCAAAAGTTTATATAGGTTATTAACTTTCAGATAATCAAACACAATGAGGCGGCATAAAGATAATAAACAGTATTCTCATATGACTTGATTGTTCTGTAGGGATATATGAATTCTAAGATGATCAATTTCTCATCATTCAAAAAAATTGTCAAGAGGAACAAAAAGGTGATGAGCATAGCCAGCACAATTACATGATACTAACAAAATGGGTTCTATTCATATCAGTATACTGCTCTTAAATTTAAAAATCAGTAGTACCTGTGTAGGTGTAAATTTAACTGAGTTCTGCTTCGGCTGGTCCTGAGGATAAGGCCCTGGGTCAGGTGGGGTATATGCCTCAACAATAAGTTTTTCCTTCGGGGAAGCATCCACCATATCAACATCATCTGCTGGATTTACTTCAGATATCTTATTTCCAGAAAGAGCATTAGCATTCCCTTTAAGTGTCTTTGGAAGAGTGATTCGAAACGGAGGCCTTGGATCCAGAACTTCGGCACCATCAGCATTGACGAAAGATACCTAATGTGCATGAGTTGTGAGAGACATAGAAAAGAAGCAGTTCTAGATCACATCATATAGCAAAGAAAATAATTACTAACCTCATAATCTGGGAAACTTTGACTGAGATGATTTGCATCGAGGAAAGTATCTTTGAAGTCTACTGTTTTCAACAGGTTTGGCATATTAGGCCACTGTGCAGCAGAAGGGTTGCCATATCCAAGAAAAACATTATGCAACCACTCTGGAACAATACAATATTCATTCATGAGATCTCTGATAGATTCCAGAATAGCCTTGAAGTTGTTCTCCTTTGGTTTCCTCCTCATTAGCACATTAAATGTGCTATACACATCCTCAGCACCTTTTTCAGCAATGTCTGTGACATCTATGTGATACTGTGCAGCATCTAAAGCGACAGTCACAGTCCTCATTTCACCTTTTGGGGGCTTCCATTCATCCCGTTTAACTCTTCCAGTAAAATCATTCATCAGATTACCCTCCTCATCGCGAATATCGATGATTTCACAACCACGGACGTACTGAAGCCCAAGCCTCTGTGGAACTGTAGCTTTCTCAGCTTCCTCTGGACCTAATGGCTCAAATGAAGGGCGTATACAAAGCAAAAACAATACATCATGCTCTTTAAGGGAATTCCATTCAGATCTTATCTGTGATCTGTAACTCTTAATACTGAAAGTAACTTCTGCAGTCACAGATGATGGCTTCTCTTCTCCGATATTAGGCTGTTTCACCTGAGCGATTTTGAATTCATTGATCGGAACGGCCATTCGTGACCAACCACGAAAAGCAGTGTCTCCCTCATTATTTATATGTGCAAGAAGATGTGGTACAGCTTCCTGTATATCTTCGCGAATCTCATAGGTAGATTCTAGTCGGAAGAGATTGAAGTTTCTAAGGAGGTAGTCATGGAGTGTTAGAAACTGAAGATTAAGCTTTGGAAGAGCAAGGCAACCTTCCCCAGAATAGTTAATGCTTGGAATAACACTTTCGTCCCACATGATTTGCTCATTTGGGTACAAAGGCAGAGCGTTTATGGCTTCTTTCTGAGACTGTTGCTTCTCAAAAGTGGAGACAACAACCTCAGTCAGAAAATCCTTATTATCTGCCCAAGGATCATGTCTTGAAACCAGCTTGAGCTGTACAAAAACAGATGAAAATGAGAACCACTGTAGGTGGCAAGGTGTATCGTAATTGTAAGTGAAACTGTAAGGCAAACAGGTATATTAAAAAAAAAAGTAAACTAAAATCAGCAGCAGCAAGAAGCAAATGCAGTACATATTTTCTTTCCAATCTCCACCGGCACAAATACATCTCTTTACTGATTTCTCACGCCACTCTGCATAATACTATAATGGGAATTCGACTTCTACATATGTGCCAACCCACAGATATCTTTAGGATGTCGATTTAGACTCTGTCTTGTGTTTTTGCTAACTATTTTGCCAATGGTACTCACTGAAGCTCACAATTATAAGACCCTTAGTAAATGAAACTGGCAGAAAAGATATGATCATCATGATTGCCTCAGCAAGGTGCCATAATGATATCCTGAATCCCCATGCAGAGTTTTTAACTATAATGCGCAAAGATATTATTTTCACATGTGAACCTACAAGGCTACAAGAATAAGCTTTCCAAATATATATACCTTTGAGCAGACAACATCCCTTAAATCCTCAAGAGAAAGCACTGACAATCTCCTCCGAAGATCAGAACTCTTGTGAACCGAACCAATGTTAGCCAAAGACAGATCGTGCAACTGACACAAACAAGATAACAGAAAATGTCAGAATTTAGAGAAGAGTCTCCCCAAAAAAAATATTAGAGAATAAGGAAGAAAGGAGATAAAGGCTT